TAAAATATTCTGCATTATAAGTGAATCCAAAATATTTTGTTGGTGACCGCATGGTTGCTGTCATGTTACATGATGTTAGACTGCATTGTAACTGCATTCATTTCTTCAATAAAAATTTGAATAATATATTATCATATAATCCAGTAAAGTATCATGGATACCAGCTTTATCATACTTGACAAATTGGTTTAAATCTTGAGTAAATAAGGAAATTAAAAATGAACTGATTCTAAAAAAGCTCTGGTTTGCCACTGACACACATTCAGTTGCCTCTAAAATGAAGTCAAATGTTCTTGTTGCTCTTTCTGCTAAGATAAAATAATAGATTTTTGATAACACAGTCACAGGAGTGAGGGCCTGATGGGACTTTGCAAATGAGTTTGAGCCTGATAAATGGCTTTGCATGGCTCAAAGAAATGGAATCACGACTTGCAAATTCATAAAATTACAGCTCAAAAATTCAGTTGCAGTTCAGACTTCAGGGAGTACATTTTTTCCTCATCAGGGCAAAATTTTGCTAATCTTCTTAAATTTCCCAAAGAAATTAGGCAAGGACAATAGGAATGGATAAAATAGTTCACAAGTGATCAAGCAGTCAAGCATACAAATTCAATCACATTTCTGGATGGGCAGCTGAGTGCAGTGAGTGGCTCTTGCTAGATTTTTTAGTTTTGTACTTATAAGACATCTTATTAAAAATAAGCATTTAAGATTGATACTTAGCCTAACCCAAATTATTTTTAAAATGTGGTTTATTATTTTATAGAGTTCTGACTTCTGAGGATTAGGTACTGGATTAGAGGATAGCATGCCATATTTATTAATTTTTTAGAGGGATTTCAATTTACCATCCTTATGCACATGCACCAACATATCAATAATTTAATAGTTTTTAGTCTTTGGTTTAAACTGCTTCTAAGTATTATATTAATTCAACAGACTCTGAGGACTGAGACTCAGCATCAAATCAATTACATCATCATCATAATCATGTCATCAATGATCAATAATCATCAGATTTCCACATTCATCATTTTTCAAAGACATTAAGCCACCACCCACTGTCTCTAATTAGTATAGCTACTTTACTAAGTATAGTAGATTAGTAGGACGTATGTACTAGCCTAATAGGTAGTGGTATCTTCGGCATTGAAGAATAGGCCTGGTCGCCTGGATAGGATAAAAATGGATAAAGTTTTTACATGGATAAAGTTTAAAATCTAACCTATAATTGGTCCAATTAATAAATACCTTTCAAGTTATCAGATGTGACGGGGCGGCACCATTTGAACCTTTTGAGACTCTCAAATGTCGTTAATCCTTCCTGAAACAGCTTGAACTGGCTTTTTTTGCTAGGCGGAGGACACACCGGATTAAAGTATTGATAGAAACTAAATTGTGGATTTAATTTACGATTCGTATAATAATTTTTTGATGGTTGAAATAAGTATTTCAGCTATTAATTTGTGTAATTTTTTAAAGTGCTATTTTCTTGCTAGTTCTTACCATTTAAATTTCTTTCCAAGCAACAAAAATTGCAAAACAGTCGCAAACAATTTCACTTACGTAGCGTTTTATGGCCAGAATAAAATAATTTTATTTGCGTTATTAATGTTAATTTATCTGGAGGTAGTTAATTCCATCGTTCTAACCAAATATTACCAGACAAATGTACTGTATCGTTAGCCATTTTGCGATTTTTATATTATAATAAAATTATAATTTACCTTTACCTTGGCAACACCGTTAGGAAGTTGACGTCGCGCACACAATTTTCTAGTTGATCAGTATCGTTCGGCTGATCACCGCTGCAGATACGCACGTTGCCAAGGGTATTATTATTTACACTATTTTTCCATATCTTAATACTTATATTCAAAGCCTACCTTGTTATTCATTTTCACTGCATTAAAATCTCAGTTCCAGTCTCTTTTATTTACAATCCTATTGGTTTACTGTGTGAGTAATGACTGGCACTTACCCAACAGTACGACCCAGCTGATTGAGCACAGAGACATTAAAAATGTTCAGCAAATTATGATTATCTTCCCAGTTGAAATGGAAATAATTACCAGATCTGGAAACCACGACGCTAATTTAACTGATAAGGTGCGTAGCATAGCACTACCGTACTGCATTAACAACAGCGCGGTGGTAGATGCAAAGAGTAAGCCATGTGTTCAAGCCTGTGGGAATGTTCGATTTATATTTTAATTGTGCTGGGTGAGCGGCAAATGGTAGGTGTCGAAGGTGGTGCATCGGCATAACCGTGTGCGGTGCTCAAAACAATCCTCAGGTACCTGTTACATAGGTGGGACTTCAGTGCCTCGACAATGGTAGGAGCGAAGCATAATTTCATCTCGATTAATTATACCCATCCGTAGAATACGGTGTAATTTCTAAGGAAGCTAACGTACGTCCGATTCGTCAAGCTTGAACGTTAAACGTTTCCCATGCTACACGCAATACTGCTTACTTGTAGATCACTTCGGAAAAAGTATTTATCAGATTTTTGCTGCCACTTTTATTATTACACCTGCAGTGCCTATTTATTTAAAACAACGCAGAAGATGGTCAATTTTGAGCGGTGTAATATGACGACATATTAAGGCATAGGATTCCTGCTCAAGTTGAATGAATTCTGGAATGACGAGAACTCGAAATATTCAATCGTTGATCAAAGATCTCCGTACAAGTACAATGTACAGTTTACTTATATTACATCATTTCTCGGTGAGATAAGCTGCTCAGCTGTGCCCGATATGAATCCGAAGTACAGGTCAAAAATGTATCGACGAAGCACCGAATTTGATTTGGGCGTGGCAGGCTCGTGGCAGCAACCAAGTTGATCCGAGAACTTGTGCTCTGCAAAACAGGCTTATTGCTGCCACTGATGCAGAAAAAAGTTTCAATGAGTTTTTCCGGCCTTGAAATTTTTTCATGCAAAACTGATATTGTCTGCTGTTAGTTTTTGTCTTTTGAAATGTTGAGGCTCGCTACAACATTCACAACAAGTCACGAAAAGTTCAGGAAACGGCGACAGGCCACATCGGACCTACTCTTTGGCGCCGACATCGCATCGCTATGTTATGTTATTTAATGTCATTGTGTCATTTGGATTCATTTCACCATTCCTCTAAATACAAGGCCGGTTCAATAAAGTTTAATATACTCAGCCAATGTTATTATTTGTGAACCGTGAACGTGAAGCGCAAAAATTCCTACTGGTTCAAGCGTGGAGGACTAAAAAGTTTTGAAAGCAATATAAGAAACGATGTTAAGTTAGGTAAAGAGCGCGAACAACGAGTATATCACTTCTGAATTACATAGATGATCCAATACGTAATAGGCAGAGGTATTTCTATAAAGAAATTTTTTGTTTAAAATTTGCCTTAATATCGATTATTAATGTAAAGCATCATGGTTACTAATGCTGAGTCATATATTGAATTACCATTTGAGTTGGTTATGACCGTACAAGGGTCTTTCTAATATACCTGAATCTAATCATCTTCCCAATAATTTTTGATAAATAAGTAAATCATACAGTGACATTAGAATAAAATTAGTGAACATATAATTGAATATTAATACGCATTACTAATTAATAAAAAGTTTGATAATCATCAGTCTTCTCCTGTAGCACTCTGGCGCCCAAATAAATTTTGACCCTGACTATGTCGCGGTTCAGTAGCGCACGAGGCTTTGGAAAACACCTTGTGGTTGGGGCGTGAGGTCAAAATCATAATAACCATATTCTTTTAGTGGACTGGAACGGAATGTGACAACAGTGGTTGTTTTGGTTGGAGGACATTAGAAACGTCTCGGACAAAAACGCGGCCTCTCTCACGGCCGGTCTCGCGGCCGTGATTCCAAATTCAGTGAGCGTGGAATATCTCGCAAAATACTGAACGTAGCTTAATGAAACTTGGTACACATAATCATTAGAGCCTAACGGTGATGTTTAGCTCGTGACAATTTTTCAAAATTCGCCTTCATTCCTGAGTTATATGAATATACGTGGTGAAAATTGCAGTGAGCGTGACATTTCTTCTAAAGTACTGTACAGATTTGAATTAAATTTTGAATATAAATTTCTCAATACTCGACGGTGATGTTTAGCTCCTGATATTTTTTTCACTTTTGCCTTCGTTCGCGAGTATTTTTCACTTTTGTCTCATTCGTGATTTTAACAGCGATATGTGTTGAAATTCACAGTGAGCGTACGATTTCTTCTAAAATACTAAACAAATTCGAACGAAACTTCGTATATTGATACCTTGCACGAGGCTTTGGAAAACAAATTGTGGTTGGGGCGTGAGGTCAAAATCATAATAACCATATTCTTTTAGTGGACTGGAACGGAATGTGACAACAATGGTTATTTGGTTGGAGGTCATTAGAATAACTGTATTACTCAAAACTCACGGGAGTTTTGAGCTCGTTTTTAAATCGTTGAAAATTGATGTAAGCGCATTGAAAGTTCTTAGATTCGAGAGAAATTTTCGTTATTTGTTCAATCGAACTTCAGCAGGAAATTAGTGTAAAATTTCAGAACATAAGTAAATTAATGTGTCACAAACAGCAATGCGTTCGTTGTACTTCAAACGCAATTTACGTTCATATTTAATCAATGAATGTTTATTAACTAACCAGCTAAACGTATATTAACCAAACCTATTTTATGATCAAACTCAAGTTAGAATTACGGTCTCATAATTTGCACCAACGAACATGTTACTCAATTAGAAGTGAACCAACTGCAGTGAACCAATGAGCGAACCAACTGCAATTTCACTAACGATTTTAGAGCGTCAATTCATTAATTGAGCAAGAGCTGACCTCGCCTCAGACACACCGTATACAGTATCTCCACCCACTCAGTAGTGCACGCAAATGAACTTTTCTGTTCGGCGTGACCGCGAATAGTTAAAACTCAATGCTGACCTCTGGTGGTGTGTTCCCAGGGCCATCTTCTGTCGTAAACACTACAGAATTTGGCTGTTTGTGTCAGTGAGGTGGCAACCTCGGTGACCAAAACACTTGTAAGTGAGATCTTTTGCTCGTCTAACTTTGCAGTTGGACCTTACGTTGATCGTATTGTCTTCCGAGTTATAAAATATTAGTTGTACCTGTGTGACATATTGTATTTATTATCTATGAAAACTGCGATTGATTAATGGATTCAACGTGCAGTGATTATTATAGAGAGAATATGTGCTTTTGTACAAGTACTATCATGGTTTTGGAGATGATATCACCAGTAGATTGCTAGTCATAGTAGTCAAGAGGTATTTTTTTATTGCGGCAGTCGGGCGGACTTTATTTAGCCGAGATTAAGAACAATATTGTCCCAAAATCTCAATCGTAAACATATTTAGTGTTAGTCTTGTGCCCGCAATTATCAAGATAAGCGGTCTTGTACTTTATATTGAGTATTGAATAAGAGAAATCACAAGAACTGCGAATGTTGATTCGATCAGAAATAAGTCTACTGCTTTTGTCTACAGAAGTTAAAGAATCCAAAGAATGATGTTCCAAAAGTCTTAATATTAGAGGATCGATTGAACGAGCTGATTTTTTTCAGACTAGCCTTTTCAGGTATTAGCATGATTGCATGTTTTGTGTACAAAATTTACTATTCCAAAATATCTCTCAATCAGTAAACGTTTTTAATCAACCGGTATTTTATTTCCGTTCTTGCAGAATATTGTGTAGGGCGCCGGCGATGACGCCGTGCTTCCTCAGGCTCGAGAAGTGGACTCGACAGAATTGCGGAAGGTGAGGATGAAATTTTATATACGAATAGTGACGTGTTAGGGGCAGATTAAGAATGATTTGCGAACAATAAATACAAATTATAGCTACAACTAAAGATATTTGCCATAATTTTTGGTTTACGTAGTCGCTTGAATAAATGCATACAGCATACGTTTTAAGGATGAAACAAAATCAGATTGGGTGCACGCAGACGTTCAAACTTCGCTCCAATATTTAAGCTAAGCGCTAGAATTCCAAATGTAAGGAAACAATAAAATTATACGTTACCATAGAGATTAATCACTGTACGATAATAAATTCAGTGCGCGTTCTGATTCCCTGAGACGCGCCTCGTCAGTCCCGTTATTCGTCAACGCGTACATTCCCTGAATTTACTTATTTGACACAATATTCTAAAATTTTAGGAAAAATTACATACATATTATAAAACTTTTATCTGCTATGAATTTTTTTGTATCATGAAATTTTTATATATTATGGATCAAATTGAAACTAACATCAGAGCTGGAGTTTTTCAATTACCTATTGGATATGTCATTCATAATCGTATAATAATTATACATAGAACTATTCTAAAATAGCTTGAGAGTATCATTGAAATCTTCATGGACAGAAGTCCCATTGTCTTGTAGAGTAAAATCACTATTTTATTTTGCAGATGATCGAATTATTCTCTGCACCTTGCTTCTGCTTCTTATTCTTCTTTGTACACGTTTCTTCCCCTTTAGCGACTCCCATCCTTAGTTCTACTCTTGCTCCTATTTATCATGCAAATCATTCTCCCGAAATTTCTTCATCACCACAGACTTTTTCACTGCATACCTTCATACCTAACTTCATCAGTACTCATCAAACTCCAAGTTTCTACAGTTCTTTCCCTCCGTCCAATTTGTCGAATTTGATCTCGCTTAGTTATTCAAGTTTTTCTTCTTCTCTTCCTTCTGTACGCCCTATTTCTTCCCAGAGTTTTTCAATCAATGCTTATACCCCCAGTTCTTTGAGTTCTTCTCTCGGTTCTTCACGTTCATGGCTTTCCCTTTCGTCTGTTCTACCTAAGGAGTCATCAGGCACCTCCATTCTTCCCCTGCATGCTTCGTCCCCATCAAGACTCCCCGCGCGGGGCTCCTCACCCCCTTTGGAGTCGCAGGACTTTTCACTCTCTAGGAAGTCGTGGGACTCCTCAACCCCTGAGTTAAGGGGCTCTTCAACCCCTGAGTCGTGGGACTCCTCAACCCCTGAGTTGAGGGACTCTTCAACCCCTGAGTCGTGGGACTCCTCAACCCCTGAGTTAAGGGGCTCTTCAGCCCCTGAGTCGTGGGACTCCTCTTCCCCTAGAGAGTCGTGGGACTCCTCAACCCCTGGGTCGTGGGACTCCTCAACCCCTGGGTCGTGGGGCTCCTCAACCCCTGGAACAATAAGCTCTTCATCCTCTGGGAGGGCGCAGGGTTCATCATCACATAAAAGTTCGCAGGGCTCTTCACCACCTCGGGAGTCGCAGAGCTCCAGCGTAAGCCCCCTGGAGGAGGGGCTACAAGAAGTGGCCTACCAGAGCGTCCCTCTGCACGTGAGTCATCAAAAGTAGACTTAATTACTCACTTCAGCTGTTCAGCATATTGAATTAATATATATTGAATTAATATATATTGATTAGGAGCAAATATGTAACTGCTACTTGTGAATAAATTAGGAGATAAAATCAACCAGGATTTACGTTTTAATATAATTTTTGAGAAAATTCTGATTTCAGGCCTCGACAGCATTACAATCTTCTCTGAGAACTGAAGAGGATCACAACCAATTAGACGACGCTCTTTGGGATCTTCTGAGCTCCCCGAAAAGTGTTCCAACATCAAGTCCAACTCCAAGCCTAACCGAACCGAACCGAACAATTTCAGTGTTCGGTGGACCACCAAACCAGCCTTCGGTGGAACCGAAGGCTTTGAACACTACTTCGACTACTTCTAATGCTGGCACCTCTTCGAAAATTCAGGTTCATATGAACCCTTCAGCAACTATAACCATTTATAACTCAGTTAACACCGATGCAATAAAGCCTCTGCAAGAACATTTTAATGTTAAGAACTTCGAGCCGAAGGAAATGAAATTAGATCACAAAATAGTAGAAGTCGCATATCAGAATAATCTTAACGACGATAAATTGAAATCTTCGATACATTTTATGGAACACCCAATTAACCGCGAAATTTCCTCCGTAATCCTCGACTCTGGTGATGCGTCTTCTGTTGATTCGAGCACCGGGATGTCAGTTGATGAGTCCTACGGAACACAAGCGGAAGACGCGGCAACTCGGCTTACTGGCGTCGAATATGCCGAAGACACTTCACAAATCTCAGCAACTGAAAATTTGACGGATGCAGCGACGGCGAGTGACAGGCTTCAAATGCATGAACCAACGTCACAAGAATGGTTGAAAGATGATAACTCAAAAGATAATAATAAAATTGACACTAATAACGACATCCCTACAACCACCATTACCATCATTGATGACATCAACACTAATACATCTTCTACTAATACCACTGTAGACAATATCGCATTGATAGATGCATTTAACACCAGTGACTATTCTACCCCAAATGCTGTTGAAAACAACAGTTTCGACTTGCTTGAACAATACACTAATTTTGATATCGTGGAGAAGCAATCCACATTGGAGCATAATGCAAATTTTTCCCTTCTTAATAAATCAACAACTTATTCTAAACAGCAATCAGACATTCTGGAGGAGTTAGGCAATGACAAAAACTCAACGTCAGCTTCAAAAGATATTCTTGATCTGAGCCAACCAGCAATTAAAGTCGAGACCCAATTCAACATAAATAATAAAAAAGACCTTATGCAAAGCAAACTATTGGAAAAAGAACAGTCGACTGGAAACGACACTCCAACAAAGCACTTCTCTTTTCAGGGTGAACATAATAGTAGTGCTTCGAGTGAGTCACAGAAAAAGCGTAGTTTGTTTACTGATTACAAGAACATTACAAATTTTTTCTTCCATGATCACTTTTCACATCAGCTAGAAGATCTCGAAACGTCCCATTCTGAAGTGCAACATCGTTATCATCAAAGTTCTGGAAAAACAAAGAACCAGGAGCTGTACAAAATCTATCATCCCCATCAAGCTACTTTGCCTGACTTGCATAACCCGCTCTTGGGATACAGGGTAGCGAGAAACCACAAAAATGAACCTGTCCTTATACCCCCGGAATATCTCTCTCCTGACGCCAACTTTGCTACTCCTTCTACCACAAACGCTGTGCACCACACCATCGCTGATCCACGACCAATACAAACGGTTCGTTACGCTGGGACACCGGACTCGGCCCAGATCCCATCATCTCGCAAAACCTTCTCTCCAAGTGGGTTTAAAGTTCCAAAATATAATTTCAGTTATAGGGTTGACCATGAGACCAGCGGAAACCACTTTGGTCATGACGAGGAGAGAGAAGGTAGTAAAACTAGTGGACAGTATTCCGTTATACTGCCGGACGGTAGAACTCAGGTGGTGACATATCATGCTGACACCAAGGGCTACAGAGCCAACGTTCAATACAAACATTTGGGTCATGACATCAGTGTTCCTGGTAATCGGCGTGATCCAGTGATTAGAAATCAATTAGCAATCTCCCATACTCCTGCTAATGAGAATCAAGAATCCATTTCCCGTTTTCTGCCAGCGAATCAACCAAATAAATTACTTCACTCTGATAACAACTTCCATGAGCAACACAAACTTCCCATGATTCGCGTGAATATACCTTATCTACCAGTTATAACTCCACCGTCCACAAGAATCCCTGCGGACAACGACTTCCGAGATCAAAAATATGGCTCCTCATCGAATCAAAACACGCCTTTAACTAATGGGCCGCTATCACCTCGCCAAAATATCAACGGTAGGAAGTCGGTTCATCGGAGACCTCAACATGAGGAAAGTCAGGAGTCGATATTCAATGTAGAGGTAGAATCCACTTCCCCGTTGATATTCCACCCCACTCTCCTGCAAGTAAGTGGGCGTCAATTTATTAGAGACTTGTTAAACAAAGGAATTGGTGAAACAAATCTTAAAAATAATGAATCACCTCAAATTCAAGGAGCAAAATCGTCTACAAAATCTTCAGCTCTCTCTTTCAAACCAAGAGAAAATGGACGGAAATTTAATAAATCAGATTACTTCATACCTGCGTCAAAAGAAAGTCTTATCGTGAAGCGGCATCCTGACACTTTAGACGTGGAATTGCCCAAGGGTAGCAATGGCACAGGTTTTGTACAGGATCAAGAAGCTAATGCGAGGCTTCAAGTAGAAAGATTGCCTAATATCACAGATAATTTTGTTGTAAGCTCGCAAGAAACAGACGACTTTCCAACAAACGGTCTGTCTTTATTTGTTAAAGCTAGCCAAGGACCCCAGTTACTCAGCGAGAAAGGCAATAAAATGAGTCACGTCTTCACACGACATTAAATTCTACTATAATTTCTTAAAGCCCGTAATAATTTAATATGAATGCAATATCTTCACATATAAAACAAGCGACAGTTATCTTTAATTCTGAATACTGCCAACATCATACAGATGTTACAACCTATACAATTAATTCGTCCGTGAAGCACAACCTCCGTCACTTTCAGAAATTCGAGTTACAGGCTTCAACTGACCGGAAAATTATTACATCTTCATTATGATTGAGTGGGAACGCAACGATAGCCTCCTGAACTACAGTATTCCTACTTCTTAAAACTCAGGGTTAGCGATAGCCTCCTGAACTATAGTATTCTTCTTAAAACTAAGGGTTTTATTCTTAACATGTAGCTACTTAATTATCCAAGAACAATAGAAAAAAATGAAGTTTAGCCAACTTCCGACCTTCGTCAATTTGTGATGAGTTTCAATAATGACTGAAAGAAATAGAGTAAATATATAGCTTAATGATTTCAGATGAATGCAAATTTTTCAAGTTTCAATGTTTTCTACAGTATAATTCATCAATGATTGTTATAAAATTATTAAATTTCATTCATGAATTTAAAATAACACTTGATACAATTATTTTGAATTGATAATGACTGATAACACCTGCAATCCTTAATATTTCGTTTGAATTGCAATTAAGAGAAGCAAGAAAAGTGTGAACATTTTTTTATATATCTGTGCATAAATTATTAAGTATACATATAACCTTACAAACCTCTAATCTGGATTTGATTTATTAATTGACCACAGGGAAAGTTTTGCATGGCATCTCCTAGTAATATTTTCTGTGTTATTTTTCGAATAGGGTAGACTCATGTAAACCTTCGTCATTCATTCAACAGCGCTAGTAAACATTTGGCCACTAAACTAACTAACTCTAGTTTCACATCAATCCCAAAACATGAAGAAAATATGCTTCGATTATGAAAATGTATTGCTCCCTGCAGTCCGTAATTAGAAAAGTCATAATAAATAATAATTGGGCATAATTTATGAACACGATCACTCAATTTGTTTCACTTACACTGACGTCGAACTACGTCCCCAAACTCAATATTAACGCCAGTGCTGTTGCTAATTAATTCAATTCGAATTTATGTTATTGTTTCACGTATTGTAATTATGCTCCGTTCCGGATAACGTCTATCCAAGCTCTTTGAATAAGAAAATAGGAAGATGCTGGAAAAATTGCTTAACATGGACGGGTTTTCCATGAATAGAAAAAATTCTATGTGAAGAGACTTCAGTCAAAAGAATATTAGCTTTTTATGTTAACATTTTTAAAGTATAATTTATAACATAAAGAACCTTTTAAATATAAATTATACAAGAAAATTTCATGACACGGGAAAATAAAAATCGTTCAGTGGACTATAGCTACAGACGAGATCTCTTCCAGGTACACCCTATAATGACTAATCGTTCACATCTCATTTGTCGACCTTCTAGCTGTTTGTGTGCATTTTCTCATTAGTATTGTTTTTCAGTCTATATCCGCTACATTACTTTATCTGATGATCATTTCTTACGTACATTTGTAGATATTCTTGCAGATTTTAATTGACATTTCTGAACTGCTTGATTGATTTATATTCAGACCTTGTATAATGTATCTCACTCTCTGATTTTAAATGGAGCCGTGAACATAACAAAGAGATCTAGAACAAAACACGCATGAGTTTCATGCTGCCAAGGAGAAATTATCGCGCCAGTTCGTCATTTAATTCGTTACCTTGTAAGTTTGTTGACGACTCACCCATAGAACCGAGCCATGGCACGCACAACGCCCTTCTAGCTTGATTCATCTCCTATATTTTTACGATCAACAAACGATGCCCTCGATCTTTCCATCTCATGCATGGAGTAAAAATGTGCGTCATTGTGTGAGGTGCTGAGTAATGTGAGGTACTTAGAAATGTGAGTCTTTGTGTGAGATACCAAAATACGAGATATGTAGAAAATAAATATTTGGTTAACTTGTAGTTTTAACAACATAAGAATGTATAATATTATTTTAATCACAGTCAAAGTCCATAGTCGTGTCATGCTATGTGATTGTGTGTAAGGATCTTACCAGGATATTTTTATTTTTTAATGACTGATAATGAGCGCCGCACCTTGATTTGTAATATTCGTCAGCTGCCAGGTTATTATTGCCGTATAAGTTTGCCTGCAAATTAAGAATATTAATATTTTAAGGTCATGGTCATGACTGGCGTAAAATTAACAGGAACGAAATGATCTTATTCAAGCGATCGTCTCAGCGGTGTTCACTCTTCGTTAGGGCGTCGCAAGGCTCCACTATTGACCCTCGCAGTGAACTGAGATTAAAGAAACGGAACATTGTTTCTTTGCCTTATTAAGAAATGACTGGAGAACTGTGGTCATTGTTGGACCTTCATAAAGCTAAAAGTCAAGCATGTTTGTAGGGAGATAGTCTAGATATGATGTGGCGGGCATTAAACCTAGTAAGATGTCTATAGTAGCAAGATAATCTATACCTAGTGCCGCAATGATAGCTGAGTCTTGTTACATGTCGAGTATCATGATGCACTAGGCAAAGCTATAGCGACACTGATAAGTAAGTAGCCTATTAGCATTGTAGCAAGACGATCAATAGCCAGTGTAACATCGTTAAACACATGAAAATGTTTGTCAACTAAAAACCATAATAATGATGGTCTCATCAATTCAGTTTTGATCACGTTGTTCACAGATGAATATCGTTGGTCCCTGAGTAGAAAAAATATTACTTTTCCATGATCCTCTCATCGCAAAAGTTGCATGTGACATGCGAGTCAAAAAGTTCAATGTTCTTGACGTTCGATATATTATTTGAATTTCGGTGGTGAGAGCGGTCATTTAGGGTTGTAGGCCTGACCAAGTAAACTATGCTTCCTGACTGAGCACAGGCCTGATGATGGCTTAGCCAAAACGATCCCTCGTTGTTGTTAAGTTACGTAAGTTGAAGACTCTTTGATAAATCTGATATTATTCCGTGCTTCCGTCACGTTTGTTTTAGATGAGAGATTTACGCGTATCATTTGGAGTCGTAAAGCCAACATAAGAAAGTGTAATTAATACAGTATTAATCATAACGATTGGTGCAAAATATTTCTCAATCTAGGCTACTATATTGCATAGACACTAAATAAATGCAGAACACTTATATTAAATGAGAACAGTTAAAAAATTAAACGCATTGTGAGACATTTTCTGCACATGATGGTACCTGCATGGAGGCACTCCAAAAATTCATTAGGATATTCAGTTGTGCCAGTCAGCGCAACCACTGAGAGCCGAGAGGCTTGGGTCAAAATAATGAACAGTGATTACTGGTTAATTATTTCTATGTAAAATAGTTTTCAATAACGAAACACTAGTTTCAAAATAATCGAATGCTTCAGCCAATGCCTATTCAGGTTACATGCTTAAAGTGCCTGCCGTAAACACGAATTCGATATCTTAATTTTTGTAGAACTATGATCACCGTATTTATAGGTTCGTAGAACTATGATCACCATATTTAAAGGTTCGTAGAACCATGACCACCGTAATTAACGCTTCGTACAACTATGATCACCATATTTAAGGTTCGTAGAACTATGATCACCGTATTTATAACGGTTCGTAGAACTATGATCACCGTATATAACGGTTCGTAGAACTATGATCATCGTATATAAAGGTTCGTAGAACTACGATAATCGTATATAAAGGTTCGTAGAACTATGATCACGTATATAAAGGTTCGTAGAACTATAATCACCGTATATAACGGTTCGTAGAACTATGATCACCGTACTTGAAGGAAATAACTACGACAGTTCCACCGATTTTTCAGAACTTCAACCTTCATAGAACTTACGGTGACCGTACATATGGGAATTCTAAACGAGGCTCGGGCACAACGAGATCCTCTCACGAGATCACAGGGCGTTAAAGTTTCATGAGGTCACGTAGATCTTTGGAGACGCCCATAGTTCACTCGATAGACCCACCACAAGTTTAAAATATTGACCTGCTTTTTGGCGGTTCTCTGCTGGCCAATAATATGCCACCGATAATCCTGCCGAAAATTGTCTCGCTGGATCAGGACACGCGAACGCGTTAACGACGGGAGGTTGCAACTGCCGTCGACTTGCATAACATTTGCTTGGCCTGAGGGTCTCAGCGCTACATTGCTGACGTGCGCTAGCGCATCGTCGTGATGTGTCTCAGCGCTACACTAGCGTGCGCTAGCGCATCGTCGTGATGTGTCTCAGCGCTACACTGACGTGCGCTAGCGCATCGTCGTGATGTGTCTCAGCGCTACACTAGCGTGCGCTAGCGCATCGTCGTGATGTGTCTCAGCGCTACACTGACGTGCGCTAGCGCATCGTCGTGATGTGTCTCAGCGCTACACTAGCGTGCGCTAGCGCATCGTCGTGATGTATCTCAGCGCTACACTGACGTGCGCTAGCGCATCGTCGTGATGTGTCTCAGCGCTACACTGGCGTGCGCTAGCGCATCGTCGTGATGTGTCTCAGCGCTACACTAGCGTGCGCTAGCGCATCGTCGTGATGTGTCTCAGCGCTACACTAGCGTGCGCTAGCGCATCGTCGTGATGTGTCTCAGCGCTACACTAACGTGCGCTAGCGCATCGTCGTGATGTGTCTCAGCGCTACACTAGCGTGCGCTAGCGCATCGTCGTGATGTATCTCAGCGCTACACTGACGTGCGCTAGCGCATCGTCGTGATGTGTCTCAGCGCTACACTAGCGTGCGCTAGCGCATCGTCGTGATGTGTCTCAGCGCTACACTAGCGTGCGCTAGCGCATCGTCGTGATGTGTCTCAGCGCTACACTAACGTGCGCTAGCGCATCGTCGTGATGTGTCTCAGCGCTACACTAGCGTGCGCTAGCGCATCGTCGTGATGTATCTCAGCGCTAAACTGACGTGCGCTAGCGCATCGTCATGATGTGTCTCAGCGCTACACTGACGTGCGCTAGCGCATCGTCATGATGAGTCCCAGCGCTACACTGACGTGCGCTAGCGCATCGTCATGATGAGTCCCAGCGCTACACTGACGTGCGCTAGCGCATCGTCATGATGTGTCTCAGCGCTACACTGGCGTCCGCTATCCCATCGTTATACTCAAGTGACGTAGAGCGCTAAACTCCACTTACCAATCATCTTGCTTCTTTTTTTAGGAATTAGGTTCAGTTTCCTGCATTTATTCGATCCTAAACAATTAAATTGACTATAGTGCTGTGCAGGTTACGATCATTTCAACCGAGACGATACAAGGAAAGTGAACATTCGAGCGAAAAAAACTCGGCATTTATACCTGAATTCGGTGAACCAGGTAAAAACTGTAGGACAAATAGACTGTTCAATGAAACTGCTCAAGGTTTTTTTGTTTCGATTCGTGAATTAAAAATCGATGACCATTTTACGTTTACAGAGCATTCGTACTTGCGGTGATCGTAAGTTTGATCGTTATCGCAAGAAT